TAACGTATCCGCGGGTGCAAAATGTCTGCCATACCCGCCTCCTTATCGGGTAAAACCTGTCGGGTACTCGGGTTTCGGGTACCCGTTGCCATCTTGAGTTTCAACCACTACGACATGGAGGCGCACGTCCGAGAGCACGTCTCGGGAGCATCCTGATGCGACTGGCGGTCGCAAAGGGCCATGCTAGGAGACTCACGTCGCCCATCGCGTTAACAGGCCAGCACTGTGCTGCCAACTCCCTGCCTAACCACCGTCCAACGTCAGTCAACCGGCATCAGTTGACTGGCATTGTACTGCTAGCCCCCCGTATGGCCTCTGTCAAGGGACCCTTCGACCATTCCGTCCGCTCGGATGGAATGGAAGACAAGAACGGCGCACGACGCCCGCACATATACTGCAGCGATCAACAAGACCCCGGTGCGACGCCGCTGCCACCACGATCTACAGGGTCAGCGGGACCCACGCAAAGAGGAGGACGACATACCCCCGGAAGCCTTATTTCTCTTTCTTTTTTTCTCTCTTCCCCTTCGGCTGTAACCCCTGCTTTTCCTTGGCATATAAAAATAAAAGTAGGACGTCTCACTAAGGGGCATCGGTTCACCGCACCGCAAGAGATCGGTCGACCGATAGATCGAGCATTAGAAACATCGAGCAATTAAACCGCAGAGACTTGGGAGCTCCTCCCTATCTCGCCATTTTGTAACCCCCCACTACAAACTCAGTGCTGGTAACACGAGCAGCCCGAAACTGGACGTAGGGACATTCGGTCCGAACCAGTATAATCCTTGTGTCCTCTTAGCACATCATCCGAGACAGACGTGCAATATTACAAATTTACTCGTTGATGTTTACTCGAAACACCGACACTACAAATGTTAGATTAATCATTAGTCAACGATCATTAAGTTTGGTTCTATGAAACCAAGGAAAGCGGTACTTAGCAGCCAAGTAGAAACGAAGGAAAGCGGTACTTAGCAGCCAAGTAGTACAGATTAAAGCCAAGTAGACAACTTGTAGCCAAGTTGCACCGTGTTGAGTTGAATAGTATATATCGATCAGACCAGTGATCATACACTAACCATACCCATGTTATAAGGAAACTAGCTGAACTCAAGAACGCTACTGTTTGGGCAAGCACTAGAGTGAGAGCACCATCAGCATGTACACCAATACCTCACCAACTTCCTTACTGTTTCTAGGCCTACTCCTCAGCATACTCTTGTCAACGCATCGCCATGCCATCGCATCGCGGTCTCCGCGCGACAATGGCGTGCGCGCCAGGTCCATGTCGTCCTGCCTCCTGGCCTCCGGCGTCCGTAACTTCTCCATGGTTGGGTCGCCGGGCTACGACACCATCTTCAACTTCTCCATCCAGAACCTCCGCTTCGCAGCCCCGGAGTTTCGCAAGCCGGAGGCGGTTGTGCTGCCCACCTCCCGGCGCGGCCTCCAGCGCGCGGTCCTCTGCGCGCGTAGTACGTCACTGGCCATCCGCGTGCGCAGCGGCGGGCACAGCTACGAGGGTCAGTCCTACACCGTCTCCGGCGGCGTGCTGGACGGCAAAGCGCCCTTCGTCGTGATCGACCTCATGAACCTGAACAAGGTCCGTGTCCACGCCGCGTCAGCCACGGCGTGGGCGGAGTCCGGCGCGACGCTAGGTGAGGTCTATCACGCGGTGGCACTCGCATCGTCGTCGAACTCGAACGGGTCGTTGGCGCTCACCGCCGCGTCGTGCTCCACGATCGGTTTGGGCGGACACATCTCCGGCGGCGGCTTCGGGCCGCTGTCCCGGAAGTTCATGCTCGCGGCCGACAACGTGCTGGACGCGCTCCTCGTCGACGCGGTGGGCAGGGTGCTGGACCGCAGAGCCATGGGCGAGGACGTGTTCTGGGCCATCCGCGGCGGCGGCGGCGGCAGCTGGGGAGTCGTCTACGCCTGGAAGCTCCGGCTCGTCCCCGTTCCCGACACCGTGACGGTGTTCACGCCGAGAAGGGAAGGTTCGGTGGACGCCATGGCGGGGCTCCTGCACCGGTGGCAGTTCGTCGGGCCTGATCTGCCTGACGAGTTTTACCTCTCGGTCTCCCTCACCATCGGTAGTAGCTATTTATCACAGGAAGATCGAGATCATCGTAACGTGACATTCACAGGGCTGGTTCTTGGGCCGAAGGAGCTGGCCATGTCGGTGCTGAACGAGAGGTTCCCAGAGCTGGGCCTCGCCGAGTCCGAGGTGTCGGAGATGAGCTGGGTCGAGTCGGCAGCACGGCTCGCCGGGCTGAGCTCGGTGGACGAGCTCACCAGCAGGGTGTCCAAGACCAAGTACTACGGCAAGAACAAGTCCGACTATGTGCAGCAGCCCATCTCGAGGGACTCCCTGGCCGCGATCCTCCGGTACCTCTCCAATGGGCCGCCGGGGGGGTACATGACCATGGACCCCTACGGCGGCGCCATGGCACGCGTGAGCGCCACGGCGACGCCGTTCCCGCACCGCGCGGGCAATCTGTACGCCCTTCAGTACGGCGTCACCTGGGACTGGGACGCCGACGACGCCGGCGGAAATGCACGCAGAGAATGGCTCCGGTCATTGTACTACGGGTGCATGACGCCGCACGTGTCCTCCAACCCACGCCGCGCGTACGTGAACTACATTGACATCAACCTCATGGGCTGGGCTGAGAGCCTCGGCCCGGTCTGGTTGGCGTCGTCGGTGAGCCATGCACGGGAGACCTGGGGCGCGGCGTACTTCACCGTAGAGAACTTCGACCGGCTCGTCCGGGTCAAGACACGTATAGATCATGCCAATGTCTTCTACAATGCCCAGAGCATACCAACATTACATTAGAAAAAGGCGGCGCTGAAATATGTGCTGTTCTGAATAAGATGGAGCCAGCAAATTGTCAAAAGTCAAACTATCTTTACGACTTTATTTATTTATCTTTTGATTATGATGTGGTCTATCTAATTATTTATATCTATGTCCATCTATATTACCTAATAAATATTAGAGAATCCAAAAACAAATTCCCCGCCTCTAGAAACCTTCTTTGCGTCCATCCCTACATGTCAGTAATCTGAATCCAAATTCGAAATCCAAGGTGACTCCCATTGTCACGCAAACCTGGAATCTCATGTGTAGAGGCAGCATTATGACCTATTTCTGGTGAAATCTATGGAAGGAATGTAACAGAAGAATCTTCTAACACAAGATGTCACAACCACGATAAGTCGCGGCTCTTTGCAAGAAGGACATACAATAGTTTCAGTTGGCATCAAGATCAGTTGACAGGGATCTTTAGTTCGTTGTGGTTGTGTTTTGGTGCTTGTTGTTCTCTTTTGTTGCTTTGGTTTCGACGTTAGGTTCCTGCTTGTAGCCTCTCCGGTTATGCGCCCCTCTCAACCATCTAAGTTGTATACAGCCTCAGTTGGCATCAAGATCAGTTGACAGGGATCTTTAGTTCGTTGTGGTTGTGTTTTGGTGCTTGTTGTTCTCTTTTGTTGCTTTGGTTTCGGCGTTAGGTTCCTGCTTGTAGCCTCTCCGGTTATGCGCCCCTCTCAACCATCTAAGTTGTATATAGGTTGGTTCGGTGTGATCGAGATGGGGGCAGTAAGGGGGCTACCCATGTAGCTCGGTTTTCCTTTCCTTTTGTTTTCCTCGTCTAATAAAAATACTGGCAAATCTTTTTTGCCCTTTCTAAAAAAACAGAGTAGTTATTTGCGTCATGCAATCTAATTTAGAGTATTTTCAAAAGAAATGAGAGTCCAACAACTATATTCTATTCTATTAAGTGCTAGTCGGCACCGCTTGCCATCTTCATGCCCGCGTCCATTCCCACACTCGCAAGCGGCCCCTGTGTCGAATCATCGCTTCTGGAGACGACAGTTGGCTAGCGGACAGATGCTGCTGGTGAGGCAAAGGCAAACCACCCTGTGTGCAATAGCTTCTGGCGGCGGAGGAAGCATGGTGTCAGATTAAAAACAAAATAGAGAATGGCAAGATTTTAAAGAGACCGCTGCAGTAGTCTACTTTTGAGAGCTTTTTATTTGTGAAAAATGGCTAAATCATGGATATTGACTTCTAATTTTAGGTAACCTCTTGGAGTTGCTCTTAACACATATTGCCAGGTAACCGTTCCCTCAAAAAAAAAAAAAAATCAATTTCCTGGCTCGACTCTTGGTAAAAAAATCATACGGTCAACCAATCTATGAATTGAATACATAGATATGGCCTCATAACCAAGGGATCCATGTGAGTGAGTTGGACATTGAGTCCATACAATTTAATAATTCCAAAAATCCACCTGGAGTACTTGTGATTCGGAGCACCGTTTCGATGTGATTGCCCACCCAAAGGTCCAAAGCCGTCGTTCCTTCTCTCTCTCTCTGTATGTATGTATGCACAAGGGACCCATCCCGCGTGGAAGGTGCTCTGCCTCCGCTATATGGCCGCAAGCCGCCGCCGGCCGCGGGACCGGGCAACCATGTCGTCGTCGCCGCGCTCGACAAGAACCGCAACCTCTGGCTGGCGCTCGACACCGGCTGGTGTGCGCGGGGTGCTAGCACACAGGCTGACAGGCCAGGTGATGACGAGTCGACGACCATCGTTAATTTGTTTGGTTTCGTTCATTACTCCCACGGTGAACAAGAAAACAAGGAAGAGAGCTCTGGCACGGACGAACAAGAAAGCCCCGACGGCCGTGTCCTTCCTTTCCCTTTCTGTTAGCCAAAATATCAACCCACCCTCCAAAATATCTGCCGGAACCAGCTGATATCTTGGTGGGTGTGCTACACTGCTGCCAGCGATCCAGTGCCCGTGACCAACCACGCCCCATCTGCTAGCACGTAGCCATGCACGGCGGCAGCCAAGATATTTGTTCATGGCAGCCTCCAGGTTCCCCTTCTTAACCCCTTGCTGTTAGTGCCACTGCAGCCAGCCAGAGTCTCATTCCCTCACAGCTCACACACACTGCTGAGCCCCTTCCATACCCTGCAGCAAGAAACTTTCAGCCATGGCGACCACCGCGTCCAGCCTCCTCAAGTCCTCCTTCGCGGGCGCCCGGCTCCCGTTGGCCACGCGCACGCCATCGTCGTCCGTCGTCGTGGCCACCCGGCGCGCAGCCAGCGGCCCCATCTGCGCGTCGTCCATCTCCTCCTCCAACCCGCCCTACGACCTGACGTCCTTCCGGTTCAGCCCGATCAAGGAGTCCGTCGTCTCCCGCGAGATGACCCGGCGGTACATGACGGACATGATCACCTACGCCGACACCGACGTCGTCATCGTGGGCGCCGGCTCCGCGGGGCTCTCCTGCGCGTACGAGCTCTCCAAGGACCCCACCGTGAGCATCGCCATCGTGGAGCAGTCGGTGTCCCCGGGCGGCGGCGCGTGGCTGGGCGGGCAGCTGTTCTCGGCCATGGTGGTGCGGAAGCCGGCGCACCTGTTCCTGGACGAGCTGGGCGTCGCGTACGACGAGGCCGAGGACTACGTGGTGATCAAGCACGCCGCGCTCTTCACGTCCACCGTCATGAGCCGCCTCCTGGCGCGGCCCAACGTGAAGCTGTTCAACGCCGTCGCCGTGGAGGACCTGATCGTGAAGAAAGGCCGCGTCGGCGGCGTCGTCACCAACTGGGCGCTCGTGTCAATGAACCACGACACGCAGTCGTGCATGGACCCCAACGTGATGGAGGCCAAGGTGGTGGTCAGCTCCTGCGGCCACGACGGGCCGTTCGGGGCCACCGGCGTCAAGAGGCTCCAGGACATCGGCATGATCAGCGACGTGCCCGGGATGAAGGCCCTCGACATGAACACCGCCGAGGACGAGATCGTGCGCCTCACGCGCGAGGTCGTGCCCGGCATGATCGTCACCGGCATGGAGGTCGCCGAGATTGACGGCGCACCGAGGATGGTGAGAGGAATACTCCTGGCGCGTTGCGTTACCACTCATTGAACGAGGAATTCATGATATAATTGTTTGTTGCAGGGCCCGACGTTCGGCGCCATGATGATCTCCGGGCAGAAGGCGGCGCACCTGGCACTGCAGGCGCTGGGCAGGCCCAACGCCGTGGACGGGACCATCAAGGTGGTGCCGCCGGCGTTGCGTCAGGAGTTCGTGATTGCGTCCAAGGACGATGAGGTCGTGGACGCGTGAGCGCTGGCCGCTGGGAGGAGCGCTCTGGGTTTTTATTTTTTGGACTTTATTTACCTTGTTGATGACTTGTCAAATGAATTCCCTTCGCTTAGCTTTATCTCGCTAGCGTCGTGTTAATAGCACGTCATGCCACGCCATGTGCCCATGTGTGCTCTGTCACGTGGGGCCACTCGTGGAGTCCTACGAACTGGCAGAAGGAATGAGAGAAGATGCAAATTTGGAATAAGAAAATGCATGGTTAATTGCCTTGTTGGTTAGCATGCACGTGCATCCCAAATTCCCAATTGCTTCTGTTCGGTGCCTCCCGACTCGATTTAAATGCTTCCTGCGTGCCCTCTCTCGATAACAAAACTGTTAGAACTTGCAGGAACGACCAATAGCTGTCTGACTGTGTCCAATATACTAGAAGAGATCCATGCTTTGGGTGTGTTGGGTTGCGTTTATTCAATAATTCTGGCTACAAAAACCTCAAGCCTGTGCAAATCAATGCAACCTAGTAGTGTTTGGTTGTTAGTTAAGTCTATATTGACGAGTTTTTGTTTTGTTGCCTAATATGGTTACCACTTTCTCTGGCTATGAAAATAAGTCAAACTACCTCAAGCGGTGAAGCCTATCCAAGTCAATGCAATCTAGTGATGGTTTTTTTTTACAAAAACATAGTGACAATGTTTGATTATCATGTGCTAGCTAATCTTGTATTGACGAGTTTTTGTTTGGTTGTCTAGTTTGTCTGGTTACCTCTTCTTTAGTACTATGTTTTTACCTCCATCACCTACGCCGTCTCGGTCCCAGGGGGAACTCGCGCTGCAACTTCATTGCCACGCCGTGAGGCTGCACTTCGCGTTGTCCATTGACGCCAAGCGCCGCAACTACTACGGCGCCGACAAGCTGAAGTCCTCGGTTTCTCTGTTTTTCTTGCACCTATCGTTTTGCAATTTGTCCAGCACCGAATTTTCCTTACACCAAAGAAACCGAACCGAACATGTCGGTTAAACCAATTGCTCAGCCCTAGAGCGCTAGAATATTTCAAAGTCATGGTCAAAATAATTGGTTTAGCTTAGGCCCTAGTGCGCACAACATTGTTTGTTTGTCCTCAAAGCAATTGATTTGATCACACGATTAGTCCTACGGTAATTAGTAAAGGACCGGTCATCACAGGGTTGATAAGTTGGATACTCAGTCATATTCGCAGTCGTACTCCCAAGACAATGGAGGTACACTTGGCCATAGGCGGAGCCACGTTTGGGGCCATCCTGGGCTCTGGGCCCTCGATCTTTGCCGTGGGTGAATTTGCAAAGGATCTGCATGCATCTACTCGCTGCTGCACATCTGCATGGCTGCATGTATAGTTTATTTGCTATATGCTTGGGGCCATCCTAGGCTCCGGGCCCTCTTTGCCGTGGGTTAATTTGCAAAGGATCTGCATGCATCTACTCGCCTGCTGCATATCTGCATGGCTGCATGTATAGTTATTTGCTACATGCTCCTTCTCTCATGTTCATTTAGTATAAGCTTGGTTGTTTGCCTCATTGTTACCGCTTCCGTTGCCACGCTAATTGGCCATCCTGCCTCACAAGTGCCATGCCATCCGAAGCCGTTTGTCCAAAAGTCCCCAGACTGATTCCATAGCTAAAATCTAACATTGATCAGCATATATATATATATATATACTTGATTCTATTGCCGAGCAACAAAGCCAGCATGACAACGTGACAAAGCTCTTGAGGTCCAACATGTGAGGATCCTTCACCTATGAGTCTATGACGTCTCTTAGCTAGGAATGGAGTTGTTCAAACGGAAGAAGCACAAGCATCCAGAAGATTAGGTTTTAGTTAAAATTTGGACAGTGCCTATATGAAGGCTTGAAGCATAATCGTTCTCTGTTAGATCAAAGCCGGTTTCCTATTAAATTGATCCACACTCTTAGCAAATTTGTAGCTAGAAAAAAAAGAGAGAATTTTTTAGGCAGATGCGCTATGGGGCTCCATCCCCCTTCTTTGAGTTTTAAATTTTCTGTATGACCAAAGTACATTTAAAAAAATATTTTATCTGTTAGCATCTTAAAGATTTGTTTAGAATGTAGAAAAGAAAATCTCGTTTCTATATTTGGTGCGAAATTTAACTGGTTCTTACGAAAATTCCCAAACAGGCCCAACCGTCCAAGTGGAGTGGCCAGGTCTAGGACAGCCGAGGTGAAAAATAGGGGCAAAAGCCGATTTGCATAGGATTGTACGGTTCGAAAAATATTTTCGGCACTGACCTGATCTGACCCACTGTAAAAAGGCAGGCCTGAGAGCAGCAAATTCACGCAGCCCAGCCGATTTTTTTTCCCAAAAAGTGGAGTGGCCATCAAAGGACAACCGAGGTGGGCCGTAGGGGCAGTGGCAGCCGATTTGTTTATAGGAAATTACTACGAACATTTCGGCCTAATTAGTCCATGATTAAAACTAATTCAAATAAAATAAAAAAAGTCTTCTTTCCAAATTCCTTATTCGATAAACACGCGCTCATACGACGGACATCGGGATCAGCCCTGTTCGGCTGGAGGAAAAGATTCATAGGATCGTGATTTCAGCTAGAATAGTAACCAAACAGTGTAATTAATTTTTTTTTTACCTATATTTAATACTCCATACATCAATTTTAAAATTGATGTGACGGATTAAATATAAAAAAAAACTAATAATTTTTGTTTAGTTGGAAAACAAGGCCTACGGTTCGTTTGGATACTTTCGGCACTGACCTGATCTGACCCACTGTAAAAAGGCAGGCCGAAGCGAAAGGAGCAGCAAATTCATAGGACGGACATCGGACACAGTCCAGACTTCGGGGTTCGGAGCTGATGAGAGCTGAGACCGGTCCACGGTCGGCGGTCCGGGCGTCCAGTTCAGCCCAAAAGACAGGAGATGGCAGGCGCACATGCATCTGGTGGCTATGTTCGGATGATACATGAGTCGTTGATTCGGCGGCTGAAGCTGTGAGAAAAAATATTTTAGATTTTAGCTGATCGCCGGATAAATTCAGACGAATAGGATGGGGCCCGTCCAAAGCCACTTTGCAGTCGCACTGACGGACATCTGGCTAACTTTTTGCCAAGCACTCTCTGTTTTTGCAGCAGCAGCACTCTCTGTTCCGTTCAAGTTTATGAAACGGAACTGGCAAGTGCTGCTTCCTTGTTGGTCCTTCTTGACCCCTCGTAGTGTTTGTTGCTCAAAAGAGTCCGTTGCATTCGCATTAGGGTAATAAGTCACTGAAGCCTGACAGTGACACAGTGATGGTGACCTCAGTTTCTGGATTAGCCGTTGCAAAAATTTGAACGATTGGGTCTTGTTTAGACAAGTTATTTAACATGCTGTTTTTGTTTCAAAAGAGTCCGTTGCATTCGCATTAGGTAATAAGTCATTTATAAGCCTAATTAGTTAGTGATTTACATTTGATGGTGACCTCAGTTTCTGGATTAGCCGTTGCAGAAGCTTTTGAAATGAGCCTTGTTCAAGCTGGAAACAAATGGCTACGACGTCGCAATCACTCACGCGTATGCTGGTTAGGTTAGGTTAGGTTAGGTTACCCTACTCTGCTCGGTTCAAACTGCTAATCCTATTTTACCCGCTCAAATCATCGATCATGTTTTTCAAACCACGGCGTAAAAGGTGCGTGGACAATTGGACAGCCGCCAGCCTGACGGATACGGCAGCACTTGTCGTGAGGCATCTTACGTCAACGTGCCACACTATAGTACAGTAAGTAGTCTCGGTGTCAGTGTTCAGTGTTCATCACAGTTTGACAGCACTTCACGATCGAGGACGCCAATAATAAACAAATCAAAGGCCGCCGTTACAATTTCTGAAATGTTAGCATTTGTTTGGCTATAAAAGACAGTGAGATAAGACGAGGCGATCCTTTGTTTTTAGGGGAACCAGAATACAGAACACAGGTTGAACGTGCAAACTGGCCGGCTGGCGCGATGTACGTCGGGGGGAAAAAAAGAGGATCGGAAGGCCTCTCTCCAAGCTCGAATTTCAAAATTTCAAGCAAGGCAATTCGCGAGTGTAATCATTTTCACAAGATTCTTATGCTAGGCATGGCCTTTCAGGCTTCAGAGAGTAATCGATCCTTCAAACTCTTGTTCAAACGTACAGGAGCAGCCTAGCAGGAGCGTGGACCATAATATGAGTCACACGAACTCACCGCTCGCATGAAGCATGCATGATGCAACTCATGAATCCCATTCATGTTCATCGACAGAGGTTGAGGGATGAAAACTCAAATGGAGAAATACAGTATACTTACAAGCTAGGAGTAGGCACCTTTTTGTCATGTTCGCTTGGTTGATAAGCCATGATTTAAAATACGGTTGGCTGATTTATCGTGAGAGAAAAATACTATTCGTTGGTTAAAAATGTACGACTTATAATCAAAGCGAACATAGCGATGCCTCCTGTCCATCCGGGTCTCTTGCGGAGTTAGGGTCGTTGGCCATACAGCACCATCCGACGCTCGTATATACAGTATACACGATGGGAGTATTACCGTATACGTATGTGGTGGAGTGGAAATGGTGACGTCAAATCAGCTCCCGTCTGTACACGCAACTACGCAAGCCAAAGCATGGGTTTAAACTGGCATATACGCCCATGTTCATGTGTTATTAGGTATGTAATTTATAGTCCTAACTCATCAAAGAAAAAAAAATCCCGAAAAACGTAAATGGGTTAACCATGACTAAGTTAACTAACCAAATTTGAGGCATAGATGTGTGTGTGTGTGTATACATTTAGGTTGATTTGGTATACGGAGTAGATCCAGATTCTTGTAAAAACATTTTGGATTCAGATTTTTTAGAAAACATTTCTATGATAAATTAGAATTGCTTTATGAGACTATTTAGCTGGTAGTATGGACTCTGATTCACAAAAATAAGTTCTTTTTATTAAAAAACATATAAATGAAAATATGTTTTTTAAATAATACTTTTATGGACTAAGAACAACTTAAATACAACACATTTTTTTGAGGAAAAAATACAACACATATTGACTTGTTACACTTGATTCTTGGCAAATCAATAGAACAAGTACGTGGACTGAGAATCGAAACCGTGAGAAAACTAGGTACTAGCCGTTTCGAGTTCTAACATAGAAAACATGAATCGTTTGTCATTGATTCTTTTGATTCTCAAGATAAAACAGATTTGTTTCAAATATCAAGACACACTCTTAATAATATAAATATTGTTATTTTTTACTATAAAGTTAGTTAAATTTTAAAAAAGTTTAACTTATGGTGACTCTAGGATTTGTTTACTTTGGAACAGATGGAGTAGCTGCTTAAGCTTAAAGAGACTATATATTATATTATAAAGAGAGAACTAGAATCTGAATCTATACGGCTACTACCTTCCTCTAGAAAAGGTTGTGATTATAGCTCTATCCCAAGTCAAAATTTTAAAGTTTGATCAAGTTTATAGAAAGATCATCAATATCTATAACACAAAATAGATGTATTATGAAAATATATCTCATACCAATTTACTTACACTTGTTATGTATCAGCAAAGCCAGAATAGATTTGATAAACTCGAAATAATTTGACTCAATACTATTTTAGAATTGTAACTTTTTTAGACGGAGGTAGTATTACTTTATATTTTAATTTGATTTCATGGTTTCCAGAGCGGTTTTTCTCTAATCGTTCTTTGCGGCACGTGTTCCAGTGACGAGGAATAAACACTCTCCACTCTCCAGCCTGTGCAGAGTGCAGCAGTCCAAAGTCCAAACGCCAGGCAGTCCCACGGTTCCGTTCCGTTTTGTGCCAGCAGTCGCAGTTCAGGGCTGTTTAGTTTTCCATTTTGTCAAAACTTTTGCTGTCATCTTTTGGTAAAATGGGTCTAAAGGCCTGTTTAGTTTCTCATCTTGGCCAAAACTTTTGCTCTTTTATCATATTTTTAGCAAAATGGATCTAAACACTATGGACAAAAACAACGAAACTTGGATTGGAAAACTTTTGACATTTGGGACCCAAGAGGCCCAAAACTAAAAAAAAAAACGTTTTGAGAGCGCGTGCTATGTCTAAACATCAAATAACAAAAATTTGAATGACAAAAGTTTTACGACAAAAGATTAAAGACAAAAGTTTTGTCGTTTCAAAAACATCTCAACACCGCCTCAGTTGTCAACAGTACTTTCCCTTCCATTCACGCCACCGCCCCACCTTTTAAAACCCACCACCACCCCTGCAAAAAAACACTCCTCTCCTCAAGTTCTCACCCACCCGGCCCGGCGACCCAATCTGCCAACCATCACGTCGCGTGCCGTGCGTCACCGCCTCCCTTCGCCTCGCTTCTCCCCGCATCCGCTGCGTTGGCTGCTTCCGCCCCTCCGGACCCCGAGTTCAAAAATTCCTCCATTGGCGCCCAAACGCCAAACCCTAGCCTCGCCCCGGCCCGCCCCCTCCAGCCGGCCGGGCTCGCCAGTCGCCGTCGCACGTGGCGGGGCCCGCAGGCGGAACATGCGGTGTCCCGAGCCATGGCGTCCGGGCCCGATCTGAGCTCCTCCTCCTCCGGCGCCCCGGCGGCCGCGGCCGTACCGGACGCAGCGCTGGCGGCCGCCGCCAGGAAGGACCGCCACATCGTCAGTTGGAGCGCCGAGGTTCGTTTCTAGTACTACTGTCAGTCTAGGCGTGTTTGTGTGCTCCGCAAGTTGCTCAATTCTGCGCCGCGTGCCTTTTCTCCCCGATTTTTGGTGCCTCGGGTTTGGGATTGGACCCATGTATGCAGGAGTACGCAGCAATTATTGCGCTTCTTTTTTGCTTGAGGAGAGAAGGCGACTTTTTCGCTTTGGGGCTAATCCGTGTAGAAAAGATTTTTCTCTTTGGTTTCTAGATTCCGTACCTAATCTTGACTGTTCAAAAAATTATCCCGTTCCTGACTACCAGGACGTATGTTCAGTCTTAATCCTACTTAACTTTCTATCGGCTTGTGATATCTCGTTTTGAATTTTGCGCATTTGCTCAGTACGTATGTTCAGTCTTAATCCTACTTAACTTTCTATCGACTTGCGATAACTCGTTTTGAATTTTGGGCATTTGCTCTCTTCTGATCCTCTTGACGTTGCCTTGGGCTGTGTCTGCGGTTTCTCCTCTACGATTGAATTCTTTATCTTTCTACCTGTAGGAGGATGGCGTGCTTCGTGCTCAAATCGCGCTTCATGGCACTGATAAGTATGTATTCAGTATTCTCTGCAGACTCAAACCGCGCCTTCTCGTTGCTTTGTTTAAACTTTTAATCACTGCGATTTACTTTCCTTTTGGTAGCTGGACCATTGTAGCGGCACAATTCAAGGACAAGACTGCCAGACAGTGCAGGAGAAGGTGTGCACCACTTTCTTCTAATAGAGGAAACATTGGTTAGGATTGTTGCGCTCCTAACTTTGTTTGGATGTTTGTTTGATTCCATTTTATTTGTTTGGTTGTTGCTGCAGATGGTACAATTATTTGAACTCAGAGTGCAAGAAAGGTGGGTGGTCCAGGGAAGAGGATATGCTTTTGTGTGAGGTGAGATCTTGATGTCTTCTAACTGCAGCTTAATTGCTAGATCTGGGCAGTGAATTTGCTTGAAACTAGACACTGTTGCATCAAATGCTTATGGTTTCCAATTTCCATGGAATTTAGATGCTAGGCTTCTCTGTTGTTACTTCTTTAGCGACCTTTGACAGTTCAACACAAATGATTGTGACTGGAGTTGAAAAAAATTACAGGCTGGACCGATGGAGCCTATCCTATGCTGCATGATTGCAGGTTAATAATAGGTTTGTCTTGTGCTTTACCAGGACACATGACTGATCTGCTCTTTAATAGATTAGGGAGCCTAGAAAGGATCATGTTGTAGTGTATCTTGAGATTGTGCATTATATCATGATTTGTGTGGTATCAGTTCTAATCCTTTAGTTTGTCTGCACTTGTATTTTGGTAGATTTTGTGGCGGCACATGGGAATTAGAAACCTCCTGTACAGTTTGTTTTGCCGTTATCTTCAAAATTGTTTGTTCTTGCTGTAAGCTTCTAAACTGTCCAACTGTATATTCTTATCAGCTTGTCACTGTTATGCAGGCTCAAAAAGTTCTTGGAAACAAGTGGACTGAAATTGCAAAAGTTGTCTCTGGAAGGTGTGTTTTTCTTATTGGATTGCTGCTTATTGCAAGGTGAAAAAAGGATAAAAATGAGATTTGTGAACTAAGGTTTATGGCTTATGTATTTTTGGGTTTGGCTACAACAGAACTGACAATGCAGTGAAGAATCGCTTTTCTACTCTGTGCAAAAGGAGGGCCAAGGATGAGGAGCTATACCAAGAAAATGGTGTGCCATGTTCCAACTCAAATGCAAAGAGGGTTCTCACAGAAACAGGAGGCCTGACACCAGGCGGAGTTGCCTCCTTGCTACATATTAAGCAGATGAGGTATATAAAACACAAGCTGAACTTACATTTTCTAACTGATAAGCATCTTAATGTCTACATATTGTTTGACCTTCTTTTTTATCGATTCTGCTACAAGGTCTTCCAGTTCTGATTTAAAGGAGAACCTTGTACCAAATATGAGATTATTTGAACAAGAAAAGAGCACACAAGATGCCAGGCAACCTCTTGCTACCATTTCTTCGAACAACCAAGATAACGTGGATACAGTTAAATCCCAAAACTGTGAGTCCATTATCCTTGATTCTGAACATTTTATTTTACTTGTATGTCTTGTGTCAGTGATTGAATCATTTCTGTGCTGATAATTTCAGGTGTGAAGCGGGAGGGTAATTTTCTGAACAAGGATGATCCAAAAGTTGCTACTTTATTGCAGCAAGCTGACTTGCTTTGCTCCCTTGCAACAAAAATCAAAAGTGACAATACAAGTCAAAGCATGGATGAAGCTTGGCAGGTATGTATGGCTGCACCAACTTCCTGTTACGAAGTTCTCAGCTTAAAACTCTTGGTGCTTTATTGATAGGTAACTGTTTTTATCCCTGACATTTTCAGCAACTGCAAGATCATTTAGTGAAAAAAGAGCACAACGAAGTGCCAGAAAATAGTGGGTCTGAAATAGGTTCACTCCTAGAGGAACTTGATGATTTAATTGTAGACCCCTATGAGAGTAAAGATGAAGATGAACAAAAGTTAAGGTAATTTGTGAATAAACGCCCTTCTTTTTTTTGTCAAATATGTCGCTTCAGTTGTTGACCCATCATTATTTCCAATGCAAAGCGAGCACATTGGACAAACTGATGTGGACAATGATCAGTGTAACGGTTCTTCACAAACTAGCATAGAAGTAACATCAAATATGGTCCCAGAGGAAATGATGGAAGATTGCCCAGTAGATAACTGCAAAGAGGATAGTAGCCTTTGTAGAAACGTGCTTTCTGGAAGTACGGAACCTTGCCCAGGTAACTTATGCTATCAATCGCAACTTAGGTAGATTCTTATCTACATCAAAGAAAGGCTATCTAAATTGTTGATTATAAAACAGGTGCAAAGAAACCAGCATGTGGAAATTTGAGTGAGGACCAGGTTGCTGAAGATAGCATGCTTCAACGTGTAGAATCTACATCTGTTATTACAGATATTGATGATTTAATCATAGACCCGTATGAGAGAGAAGAGGAAGATGAAGAAAAGTCAGGGTAAATGATGGATATTTTCTCATCCTTTCATTCATAATATTGCTTCAGATGTTGATGCATCATCATTCCAATTAACAGGGAGCAGAATGGACAGATTGATGTTCATGACGAGCAGTGTTTTGGTTCTTCGCAAACTATCATGGAAGTGATATCAGACATGGCCCCTGATGAAGTGATGAAAACTTGTCCAGCAGATAACTGCGAAGAACATAATAGCATTTGCCAAAATGTGCTTTCTGGAAGTATGGAACCTTGCTCAGGTAACCTACACTATCTATCATTACTTATCTATATTCTATTTCATCCACATCAGAGAAAAATTATTGAAATTTTTGAGGCTCAAACAGGTGCAGAAATACCAGCATCTGAAAAATTGAGTGAGCTTGCTGAAGATAGCAGACCTCAATGTATGGAGTTTGCATCTCCTGTCCTGACAAATTTTGAGAGTAAAGACTCTGGAGAAACACCAGCACCACAAAATCTTAATGAGATTGCTGAAGATAGCAGGGTCCGATGTATTGAATTCACCTCCCCAGCTCACACAGTTCTCCAAGATAAAGCAGGTGCAGAAAACTTTGCATCCCCAAGTTTTGCTGTGGTTGCAAAAGATAGTAAGCCTCCATCTTTGGAATTCACGTCCCCTGCTCATACAGTTGCAACATTCCAACCATATGCTGCAGACGACATGCCTACCCCAAAATTCACTGCTAGTGTAAGCTTTCGTTTTCCATGACCTGTGCCTGAAATTCATATTTGGAAATATTGTTGTACCTGAAGTAATAATAAATATGTTGTTAAAGCTGCTCACATTTGTATTTTTCAATCTTTTCAGGAGAGGAATTTTCTGCTGTCTGTGATAGAGCTGACCTCACCAGGGTCAAGGCCTGAAACTTCTCAGCAGCCATCTTGCAAAAGAGCTCTTCTTAATAGCCTTTGAAATGGGTTTGCATAAAATCCCAACACCAAGCCTTCTATGCCCCTCAGCATAATTTGGCTACTCCTATATGCATGAAGTGTGCCTACCCTCAAGGGTTTCATAGTTTGTTTTGTTTGTTGTGTATATAATGATGCATTGGTGTGGTTGTATTAGCATACAGGAATGAAAGGGTGGTGGTAATATTCTTCTCTGGGTGCGAAGAATAAGTAATATTCTTTGTGTAATTAACTCCTGTAATTCTTCTCTGGGTGCGAGTTATCAGATTGCTGTGTAGTGTGATGTAATGGCTTTCCTTTGTTGAGCTTTTGAGATGCAAGAACCGACATACAGGGTATGGCTGTATGCTTTATATGGTTGGAAACTTGATATTCGGTTGATAGACTGCGTTCCCTGCAGCTGATCAGACACTAAGTTTGCTGTCCATTCAGAATGAAACTCATATATTGTACAGACCTCCAGATATGTTCATCTTGTCACGTGCTTTGTCAACAAAGACCACAGTAATCCGATCTGGTACACTGGCTGTATCATACTTGCCGATCTGGCAAACTGCCTGTATGGCTGTATCATACTTGCCGATCTGGCAGACTGGCTGTATCATACTTGCAGAGTGACTGTCATAATACTAGTTGGCTGTTAAAATTAGCTCTAGTGAATCAAAACGCCTTAGTTAATAGCTTGAAATGAACTATTTAACTAATGAAAAGTTATTAACTGGCTTTCCTTCAGCTACCAGCTAACAATTAGCTGTCTAGATCCAAACGACGACTAGCATTACCAGATTCAAGCCCAAGTGACGCATTTTGATTTGGACTGTGATATTTCTAGCCCATGTAAAATGAAGTGCAGGCCCAACTGTCCAAGTAACTGCCAAGCCCAAGTAAAAGGAATCCGAGGAGGAGGAGCAGGGCCACGTGTCCTTGACCTGGCCTGCCTCGCTTTCCTTCGTATCCGCCTCGCTTCGTCTTCACTTCCTGAAAACTTCCCGCCCGGCCGAAGCGAACAAGCAGCCGCCGCCAATGGCTGCCTGACCTTGCGGACGAGAGCGGCGGAAAGTAGCGAGGACTGAGGACTGAGGAGGCCTTCCAGAAGCTGCCAACGATGCAAGGTGAGCATCAGCCTCGTATCACCGTTCCAATCCCTATCATGATCTAAAGTTTGGACTTTTTTCTGTGCCTTTTCATTTATTTTTTTATGCTAATAATAATAAAACTTCTGGAGCTAGTTCAATCAATGCGCTCTTACCGAGGTTTTCTTGTGGGCAGATTCTGTCCATTTTTGGTTGTTTGTGCATGAGAGATCCAGGTTGCTCTGTTTTTTTGATCCGTTCCTGATTTGTTCCTGGACTCGTTTGAATCCTTTACATTATTAGATCTTGATCTGCCAGTTTGTGCTGCACTGTTCAAGGGTTTGGACTTCAGGAACTGCTAGCTCCTGCTGCAGTCTTTGGATGATCCGGTTTCGTAGTCCATGTATCAACTCCTTTTATTTTTTCAAAGTTTTATGATTTTTTATGAATTTTTTTCGAATCCCTCGAGCCCCGCGAAAGGAATTTGCTTTTGCGAACGCAACCGCGGATTCATCGTGAGTCGTCCGCAACCCTCGTTGGCCGCGTGGGCGTTTTCGGGGGAGGATTTTTTCTTTCCGATTCGGAGTCCCAAAATTTCGAAGGAGTCCAATTTTCTTTCCAATTTCAACCCGCATCCGCGAATCTCTCGCTTTCCCAATCTCGCCCCCTCTCCAGGCGTTAACCCTTGCGGCGATTTGGTGCGCAGCTCCGCGTGAGAGCTACGGGCTCGCGGCGATGGACTTCGAGTACGTCCCCGCGTCCCCCGGCAGCAGCAGGTGGGCGGGCGAGTCAGCGGCGCGGCGGCGGCAGCGCCGACTCTCTTCGCCGTCGTTGAGGACCTACCTCACGCCGGCCTTTGACGCCGTGGCCGGCGGGGAAGGCGGCGTGTCTGGGTACTCTTCGTCGTCGTCTTCCGGCGGTCTCGAACTCGGGTTCGACGCCTCGCTCCTCCGCTACCGCCGCTCCTGTTTCGCCGCCTCCGCGGACCTGGACAGCCGCGTCCTCTACTCCCCGCAGTCGATGCCACCGCCGCCGCCGCAGATGAGGGCTTCGTACCTGGTAGCGGATGATGGGGTTTGGGCACCTGGTGCCGGCCACTACGGCTCCAAACATGAGGTACTTGTGCTGCTCTCCAGATCTAGTTTCATTAACAATTTGGGGTCTGATTAGTCACTAGCTGAAGGGTAGTAAAGATTTGTGATTGGCCCTAGTGGTTGGATCATAGGTAAGATTAGTTTGGTTAATGCCATGGTTGCATGATTCCTATGCTTTGCTTCAAGGAATTTCCTGTTAATAATAGTGTGGAATGTAGTTGAACTGAGTCCTTGGAGTTAAGGGTTGCTCAAAGTGGTTTACCGCAAGACATGGATTTAATCAAGCCAACTTATGTACATGTGGACCACATTTTTGCTGAGAGAGTACACATGTTCTAATGCAATATCTCAGACAATTTGCTTTTGCACAGACAGTAGCTTTTGCTGTGGTTACCTTAATTCTAGTTCTTGATATACAGATCGACAATTTATTAAGCTATTATGAGAATTAGTTCATTATCATTGACTAACGGCTTCGGATTTTAGGGAATGCGTCACAGTGAACATTATTTAATTTTACTATGACGCACTCTTGTGAATAGTTATGGATTTGCTTTAATTGAGCTTCTGAAAGTACATTGTTTGTCATTTTTTCTAGTCAAAGAGAAGTTCATGGTGTTATTCTTTTCAGAAAAGGACAGAGTATAGGATTTGGTTCGGTTATTTGCAGTCCCGTTGTTTCCGTAGAGGAAGCCACATCCCCGAAGTGTTGCTATCCACCATTTTACAAACTGGAGATCCCATTACATTTCAGACATACATGACTTAGGTGTAGACTTGCTATTTAATATTACTGTGCAAACTAGTTAATCCAGGTGTCAAAGCTCAAGTGGAAATTTCTTCTATCATTTCCTTATCAGGCCATTCATGTTAGGTAATGTCCTTTGAGGTGCATTACCAGACAGATAGGTCCGTTACGGATCCGTCCGTTACTGGCTGCTTTAGTTGGAAACAATCTATGAGGGCATGTACAACGCCGATGCTTGCTTGCAGGCGGTTACTGCCTTGCTGGTTTTATGTGCCCTGGTGGACAACGCCTCAACTAGCTTTTGCTGTGGCATCGCTGCTTAAGGGCATTTCCAACGCCGATGCCTGCTTGGTGCTTGCAGGCAGTTACTGCCTTACTGGTCTTCGTGCGCTGGTGGATGACACATCAACGAGCTCTTGCAGTGGCATCACTGCTTGCTCAATCACCAATGCCTGAGGTCCTTTTTCAGCAAAACAACTAACAGTTGCGGCTTGAAAAAAATTGGAGATTTATGTGAAAATATAGTTGTTGCCATCCTAAATTAGAATTCACATGTAGGCGCTTAATTGTTCTGTCTTTAAACGTCTATTTAAACATTCTTGCATTGTACATGCCCTAAGTATGCAAGTGGCAATACAAAGAGAAAGAGTATGTGGACTAGGCATTTTATAAGATCCAGTATCAGCATTTCAACATGCCCTGATGTGCTGAGATTTTTTCATTCTTTTAGCTGTCCTGTCTGTCTTATCCAATGGTTAGCATGTTTTTCAGAATCAGTGCATCATTGTCAATCAAAGCAACCATAAATAATGCACAGTATAGTTCACTAGCATCATTCTTTTGCCCAATTCCCCTGACTTGAATTTATGTTAACATACTTTTACTTGGTTTTATAATATATGTTGCACAGGCTGGCCGGCTTACTGGCGCACCAGGTTTTCAGGATTCAGAAAACCGCATTTCTTTCGTCTCCCCGCCGCAGACAAGTAGCAATCTTCCTACTACAGTTCTCGGCGCCTCCACCTCCGTCAAGCTTCCTGCTGAACTCCAGTTGCCAGAGGGCAGCGTCGTAGCGACCAATGCAGAGCTTCCAATGCCAGGACTAGAAGCTACGCCTTCAACTCTCAAGTCATCTGCTGATCCAGAACCAGCCGTGGAGGGCGATGAAATCACTGAAGCTCTCTACGGTGACAGTGGTCGTCGCAGGCTCCCCATTTTCAGGGAGATCTGTCCAGAATGAGTGTCATCCTCAGCATTCTCAACGTTGCTGATGGATGCATTTCGGCTCTAGCTGTATATTCTGTTTATCTATCTTTTACCCATAGTCTTGGTAGCAATTACTCTGGAGGGTCATTTCTAGTTTCCTAAAGGAGAATCTCTCTTCTATTGATCTCTTCATTAAGCGAGAAAGCTGCGATATACATTACTTGAGTAAGCTGGCAATTGACCCGTTTTGCTTGCCGTTGGTTGGAGGTGAACCTTGGCATATATTTGCAGGGTTTCCATGCCCACTCGATGACTGCCTCGCATCAAACGCATGCGCATGTGAAGTGAAACAACATGCGCACATGTGAATCAGCTTACTGAACGAGGGATGACAGATGTACTAAACATTCCAGCAATTGATTTTTGCCATCCAACAAGGTACACTCAAACTGTGTTTCAAGAGGTCAAACAGGAACATGTATCAGAAATTTCAGAATAGTACGGGTTAATTTGAGCCATGTCATGATTGAAAAAAAATGAACAATGTCAACAATAATAATGGTCTAAGGACCGATGCCAGAGGTCCTTTTAACAGTTGTGGCTTGAAAAAAGTAGTAAATTGATGTGAAATTTTAGTCATTGCCATTGCAAAATTAGGACCATTTTGAGTGCAAGTTTGAGGAGAGTTTGAATCTTATTAAATAACACACTACATAGGCAAAACTGGTGATATAGCATGAAATTTATGAGCAGTGGAAAGAGTTGGGTTTTATTAGGATAGAACCTGGTGTACACAGTTGGAAACTTGACTGAGCAATTTGTTTCATCTTCAAATCTTCTACTCTTAGCATCATGAAAATTTTAAATGCTTTGGCCTAGCATT